AAAATGGAGTTCATCCTCTGTTCTCTTTAAGTTTAGTTCCGTTTCGTTAACCGCGCAGGCAATGATTTCTGCCGTAAAAATCACATTTCGAAATTGAAAGTGAAAGTGCTGTGTAAGCAACTCCAGGTTTAATTTGAGTCAATTTCATGACACGTTTGATGATTATCACGTAGATATGTGGCAAATATATGTGGCATTTATGGAGGCAAACTCAAACAAAGGGAAATTCCCGTGGAATTATGAAACAAAACTGTCATCTAAGCACTTACAGCTCCGTCCACAACTTATCTTCCAGGAGTGCTCCACAATGTTGTATTGAATGCGTTACGTAATGATCTAATTTTTGAAAGGATCTGTTGTTTATAATGGCCGTGCAAAGAGGGAAACCACTTCACTTTAGCTTTGAGTTCTTTCTGGCCACAAGAAGCCACAAGAAACTTTTGCCATTGTTTCGGGCATTTAATTTGTCGACAGGTACGTCAGAAGCGATGAACTGTTCATTCAACAACCAGTTTTACATAATGAAGGTCGGTTGTCGTAAGCTGCAGCGTCAACAAATATATTCCACCCTGCAAGTATCCTTTTTGTAAAGTGTCCGATTTGACACAACATGCTCTTTGTATTGAGGGGCTTAGAAAGTATATTTTAATTTTTTAAGGAGGATACCCCTCATTAAAAGTCATTTTCACTAATCCCTGAAAGATAGTCTTTTCCTACAAGATGCCTTAAATCCTCCGTAAAACTGAAGAAGTCCCAAGGTCGACGTGAGATCATGTAATTTTTAGTAATGATTTGAGCCAAAGATGTTAAATCTGCGATGTGTCTTAGGTTTCTTTCTTCGCCAGTCGAATGAGTCACAAACAGCTTTCTGTTTAGCACGTTTCAGATGTTTTGTCGGAATAATAAAAATAATTGAGCCAAAATAGTAACTTTCCGCTGCTCTTTCATTTTCGTTGAAATAACCGGGACTTTCCCATACAGTCTGGTTTGGATTTGAACAAGTGTAGTCACGCGAAGAGAAATGCTTTCATAGGCCCTCATGGAGGAAAAAATCGAAACATTCACGAAGGCTCCCTATATAATTGATACCAAAAATAAATCAATTTGACAACATAGTACAACCGCAGTCAACTGCACCATATCACGCTATAATGGTCATAAAATATCGGTAGAAATAGGAAACGTATGTAAGTTTCAAATTTTCGAGGGAAAAACCCCGCTTAAGTAGTTTCAGTTTTGCCTCTCAATCAATAAGGGGATAAAATTCCGTTTCAAAGACTTAAAAAATCGAGTTTTTCAGCTTACATAAAGCGATGTAAAACTGCTGAGGCTGTTTAATGATTACCTTAAAGTTTCTCATAGCATCTCTTGTTCAAGGGATCGAATAGTCTAGTTTCAAAATCACTTTCCTTGCATTTCTCAGCGTTAAATAAAAGATGACAGATAGACAGATGTCGACGCGAACTGTCTTTCAATCAGAGCACAATTCAT